AAGACACCCCCACCCTCGTCGTCGTCTTCGCGAAAGAAGAAAAAGAAGTGAGCTGTCGGGATCATTTACAAGCGACATTTCGCGCCATTCCGCGGATTATCCTTCTAATGGATGAGATGCCATCTCTTGTTTATAAATGTATCAATAAAGCCTATGAATATGTCCAAATACGCCTATTTGCTTGAAGCCATGTCTGATAAGTTGCAGGGTGGGACTCCTGGTGGCGGAGTCTAACTTGCACACACTCACTTCGACACGTAGCCATTCGCTAAGAGGCAGCCATGGTCAGGAGACACCTATATTTGACCAGAATTCCGCTGATTATGCATCGTTGACTTAGGCTGATGTTTCAAAACCTATCGCATTCTGCGAACACCTCCAACTTTCTGCGCTCGGCGTACAGCCAGCTTCCATAGGATTCCAGGTTCATGGATCTTCGATATATCTAAAAGCAAAGCAGCTAACAAGTGTCTTTATAGTCCCTGACTCTCGAGTCCGACCACTTCATATGTGTTCGTGAAAAGGTTGGGGAACAAAACCAGGTCGTTATCGTTGACCTCTCCGACGCAAATAATGTCATTCGAAGACCTATTACAGCGGACTCGGCTATTATGCATCCGAAAGAAAAAATTATCGCACTCAAGGGTATGCGTGTACAGTGATCTTGACAGCCTGCGCTAAAGTTATTTGTAGCTCAACGACAGCTTCAAATATTTAACATTGACACCAAGACGAAAGTAAAGTCGCATGTCAATAGCGAAGATGTCATATTTTGGAAATGGATATCCGATACCACCATCGGCCTTGTCACAGAGACCGCGGTCTACCACTGGACCATCGGTGATGCAACCTCTCCTCCACAAAAAGTCTTTGATAGACACGCATCTCTAGCTGGCTCTCAGATCATCAATTACCGGGCCACAACAGACGAAAAATGGCTCGTTCTGGTGGGTATTGCTGGTAATACTACCAATCCCTCTGCTTTCAAAATCAAAGGCTCCATTCAACTTTTCTCA